CCCCAAAACCCCAAAACCCCAAAACCCCAAAACCCCAAAACCCCTATACATTGATAAAATATAGAAATTCCAAATCTATAACTTTAAATCTTCTTTTGCAACAATGGCTCATCAGAGTTTATGCTGGTGGTGCCATCGATCTTGGGGAAGACAGTGCTCTTCATGAACTTAAAGAATCTCCTTGCATATTGCTTAGGAGGAATTCAGCTCATGTTATGGCCATATTTGAGCTTCTTAAACCTATACTCGATCTTTTTCCTAGTTGTATAGTTGGTTAGAGTATCAATAATCCCAACTATGAAAAGCCTGTCCCGATCTTTACTGAAATATCACCCTCTGTAAGGCGGTACCTCCGGATTTATCTTGAGCAACTGATAAATAGGATCGTCATGATCTAGAAGCCCACTGTTAAAGAGCTTCTTGCGGCTAGTCAAGTCTATAACACCTACTAATGTTGAGTAATCCAGAATAGAACAGTCTCCCAGAAAGTCTGAAGCTCTCTTCATTGATTTCATCATTTCTCTGCGAGCATCAAGGTCAATGTCAAAGTGCTCGTTGTTTTCCAAGAAATTATTATCTTTGAGAGCGACTGTCTTGTCAGGCTCCTCATCTGAATCAAACTTAGTAGTCCTTCCAGTAAAACTCCCTTTGAGGTCATATCTTCAATCGACCTCATAATGACCAAAGAGGTTATTCATGATTACCAGGTACTGCTCTCGAGACTTTCCATTTTCAACATAATTTATCTTGTGCAGTCCATAGAACCTGTTTATAACCGAGTTTGGACACTCCTTCAAGTGAGCGTAGTACTTCTTCAGTATAGATCTCATTTTACTAAACTCAGCTTTATGTATTGTCTTCAGCATGTATTTACCATCCTCAGTGTAGTAGAACAAGCTGCCACTCTTCCCAGTAGAGCAGAGCTCTTTGAATGTAGACAGGTTGTTGCTCCAGATGTACTTGAAGATGTTCGAAGGTCCGAGGGCCTTTGCATAACCTTCATTAGAGATCCCATCGATCTTCCTGAACTCTTCAAAGACTTTTGGGGCGTAATCTGTGAAAGTGAATATCTTTACATTCGTCCCCTGCTGGGAGTACCATTGGTTATTATACTCAAACTTTGCAGTAAAGTCCTGATCCAATATTTTATAGTAAGGGGAGTCGAACAACCAAAACACAGAGCGGTTGATCCCCAGCATAATGTTGAAGACCTTGTCAAAATCTTGATCGAAAAGCTTGACAATCTCGTTCTGGTTATTTTTCTCCTTTTTCCTCTTCTTCAGCAACGAGTTGGCCTTAACCCTACTAAATTTCTTTTGATGGGGGACATTATTAATAACAACAGTCTTCCTCCTCTCATTCTTTGACATAATAGACGTTCTCATCTTGTTAAGGGAGCTCATATCTCGCTTGCCTGGTGGTAAGAAGCAATTCCGAATATTATTTTCCAGCTCGATCAAAGAATCATAGATTAGGTCACAGATGTTAGCCATTAAGCTATACTCTTCACTATCAATCATCTTGGAAGAAGTGAATTCAATGTCCTCGTACTCATGATCGATGTTGCCTTCAAAGTTCTCGGTCTCTTTATCGCTTGTGCATTCCTTGATCTCCTCTCTTCTATAAATTTTGCTAAAATTACCTCGAGGAAATATCAAAACTTCTGTCATCACCGTAATTCTTGCTTCTCGACGGAATATACCTCATTTGAGTGTTGACTCTTCCCTTAATCATCTTGCTAGTTTCATATCTCTGGTTCTACATGATTAGAGCTGGGACCTACCTTTGTTTCAATGTCTATCTGACTACTGGTTCCATTCTGAAAGTTAGAAGTTTCCTTATGAGAGACATACTCTCGACTGTAAGATGGCCCTTCGAGGCTCGAAATTGCCTTCTTCGCAGGAGTTCTGAAGGGCACAAGATGATTAAAAGCGCTCTTGTTTAGATATTCGTTAAAGAAATCAAATTTATTGTCCTTGCTAACAGGTACTCCTTCGTCCATTCCGTAGTCATAATCCTCAGGTTCCTCATAATTAGGCTTCTTTGCTGTCTTTTTCTTCTTAATAAAAGGGTTGTTCTTATGGAAAGGGCTACTTAGAAAACTAGAGAAGGTCACTCAAATAATAAACTTACTGGTCATCGGCAACGTTCGAGGAACGATCGATTGATTGCTCTGAATGAGTCTGCCTCCTTGGTTTATACTTTCTTGTTTTCACAATCTTCTCCTTTGTTTCCTGAATGTACTTGTAAACGAGATCAAGGATTTTGTCAACAGTCTCTTTCTCATACTTAGTCTCTTTCAGGATATCATTGATGATTTCCTTAGGTTTCTCAAGCCAGTCGAACAGCTTCGGGTTTTTAGACAAAGCTTCTGAATACTCAGTATACGTAATAATTTCCTTGCCTTGAGAGATTTCATAAAACTTATGCTTAATGCTGTCTTTCTCAGTCTCTACCTTCTGGGAAAGAGTTTGATGGAACATATCAATGATGTTGAATATAAACTCCTCGAAGCTACTATAGTCAATTTTCCCTTTGCCCTTGATATCTAGCATCCTGAAATTTTGTCTTTTCTTCTCCTCTTCAGTGCCGTTCATCATAATATCGTTGAAATCTAGGTACTCGCCAAGGTCAATTGTGCCATCACTATCTCTATCGATGACGTCGAACATCCTTGAAGCGAAGTAAGTTTCGCCGATAACTCCCATCATTGATTTGAACATATTCTTGTCCATTTCATCTATACAGTGAGCTTGGAAGCGTTTGGCAAGCTCAATAAGAGTCTCATCAGTCATCTTCCAGTCTCTTTCTTTATTAAAATTCTCCATTAGTGCTTGCCTGTCGTAGATATTTACAACTCTGTGTTTGTTAGCCGACCTGAAGCATCCAAATAGGCCTTTTCTTTTTTCCTTCATTTTCAATAATAACTATATTACTTGGGGTTTTGGGGTTTTGGGGTTTTGGGGTTTTGGGG